ACACATTGGGTGCTGAAGCCTTGACGGATGGGCCAAGGCTATTATATTATGTCACCCAGGTTCATTTTGGCTTCTATCACCACGAGGCTAAAGACACTTAAATCCTAATATGCCACTGGGAGCAATTATTACTCCCTTTGCTATCGTCTGGCAGTGGGATGTAGTATCTGCTTGATCCTAGAGATCTGGACTGCATTTAGGGAGATTATATGGTAAGGGACTCACCCAAGATGCTTGTAGTCAGCCACAAGCTGCTCATCCTATATACTGGCCATTACTTCCTAAATCTTGTCTCTATTTCAAATGTAACCTAATCTAGGGCAAGAGAATATTTATCATTCTTAAGTCTTCCACTACCCAACCTAGCCTAACTCAATACTAACTCACAACTTTCCCAAAAGGAATGTTTTTAAAACCGAGCAGGCAAAAACACCTATAAACCATAATGACATAACTCCATATATTGGGAGGCAAGGACTTTTGGAAGGCAATATGCTTTGATAGAATTCAAAATGTGCTTCCCATCAGGCTTTAAAGAACTGACCATCAAAACCCCACGCCTGAATTCTGGCTTCAAGCTAAGAGAAAGTGAAAAGAGGTATAAGGTGTTGATGTCTCTTCTTAGCCCCTAAGGAAGACCCAGTTAGTAGAGTGATTTGCCCATGATGGGAGGAAGAACCAGTTTACACTAAGATCATGTTAAAACAAGCCTAGATTCATTCTAGGGATGTAGATTCAACACGAAGGCAGCCAACCTCTGACATGCCTGCCTGTTCCTAAGAACTCCCAAGTACATGGTGGGCCGCACTGTTTCACCACCTCCCCAAGATCCAGGCAGAACAGCTGCAAGCCACCAGGACCCACCAGGCCAAGTGAGCGCAAGTCTGACATGGCTCACTGACTGGGCACCTACCTAATACTTTTTCCATCCAGGAGAGGTAGGAGAGGGTTTTCAGGAGGCAAAACACCCCAGGTGGCAGGTACTCTAGCCTGTTGTTCAGAACTGCAGCTTAGTTTTCCTAAGCTCGGGTAACAGGCCCTGGTGCTGGCTGCTGCTGAAGATGACCTGACTCAGAGGGAGAGTGCTGGCCAGCCACTATTCCGCATGGACCAACTAAGGCTGGAGGGACAAAATAAATCTTTATGCAAGATAAAAAAAAAGTACCCCAAGATGGATGGGAACAAATTAAATGACACAGGAGGAAACCACTGGGCAAACCCAGAATGTGGGCCATTCTGTAAGACCATTAAGTAGCCTGGTTCTTGAGAAGAGGTGAAAAGAATAGTCTAAAGAAACAATGAAATCCAATTAATTAATTTTAATTAGATCCTATTTGGTCTGTGGTGTGTGTGTGTGTGTGTTTTTTAATTATTATCTAAAGTTTTACATATGTCTCCTTTTTCCCCAATTGACCCTGCCCCCCTGGTCTGTGTGTTTTGGGGTGGTTACAAAAAATGTCATTATTTTTCAAGGCTCTACAAGACGGAGAAATATAAAACAAATACAACAAAATTTAACTGTCGTATCAAGTAGTGGGTATTTGGTTGTCACTGTGCCATCCTTTTCAACTTTTGTCTTTGAAAATTTCCAAAATAAAGAGCTGGGGGGTAAAGTGGCCCAATACCATCTAGCTAGCTACCCTTTAAATTGGGGTTAAATCTAATTCAAGAGGTACTTATTGGGTTGACTAAATTTCAGTTATCCGTATTTAAAATCACAAAGCAAAGCCTTTTATGAACCTAGAGTCACTGAGAGTTCAAAAGAAGCAAAAATCTTTCTTTCTCAAAGCCAGAGTTAAGTCTACTGTCTCAAACTGAGCCAGACTAGGAGGACTGGAGAATAGTGATTACCTCTAAGAAAATGGGTGACTTGGGAAACAGGCATAGGAGAGTTACTGTGGATAATTGAGTGCCATTTGAGAATATTACTTAAAGTGGGAAATCCTAACCCATTTTGTTTTGCCAGATGTGGATTAAGTCTGAAGATGGGATACCAACAATCCTAAACCCTGATACTGAGGATTCATCAGTGTTACCCAGCCACTCTTGCCCCCGCTCCTCTCTGACCACAGGTGTCTATGGTTAATTAGAAGTGGGGTTTGTGGCCATTCAGATTCACCCACATTTATCCTTATCCAAGCTGGTATCCCACATTTTAATGATCTGATTAGGCTGGTGACCACTTAATGCCAACTCTTAGAAACAGAGAACAGTGTTAGCCAGCTAGTTTTCAGAATGTTTCTCCCAGCTTGCTTTGAGAACTGTGCAACCAAGCGTAGGTAACCGACATTCTTAGCCGCTCAGATCAGCAGTGAGTCAACATGCAGTTTCAGCTGAACAGCAGAGGCCAATGCATGTGGTAATGACACATAAATAGAGTGAAGGACAACCACTCACACTGAATAGCAAACTTACCTGCTACACTTTTAGGTCCCCTGCCATTAAATCTCATTTGGTGGCCCCTCCGCTCCACCTGCAAAGTTCTAGGAATGGAGAACTGTGCTCTGTGGATGCCCAAGCAGAGTAGATTATTCACCCCTTTATAATTACTCTCCTGCACCTCTCTCATCACCTTTATTTAATTGCTTCATACTATCAGTAATTTTTTCAATTCTAAAGTGCACTGAGGAACAGGACCCCTCCTTGGTGCCTAATCCGGTGCATCATGCAATTCCAGATATTCTTCTCTCTCCAAATACATCAACTCAAACAACATAGCACAATAGATTGAATGCTGAAGCAGCTATGAGTCCAGCTGAGCTCTACAAAGAGAACAGCAAAATTCTAAAATAATGCTATTGTTCCTATTTTTACTTTGGAAAACAATTACTTTTCATGAAATTATCTTAACATGTAATGTATTATTATTTTAAGTAAATAAGTATTTTTAGTTTCCAGTTTTAGATACGCCCCCCATAAACAAAAGCACTTAAGAGTTGTGTAAAGGGGTCCTAAGATGAAAAAGTTCGAAAAATGCTGCATTAAGGAACTCTCTAAAACTGGATAGAAACACAACAGACATTTTATCGCAGGAAAGATTTAAGTTAAGTCTGCTGAAATCCTCTGTCAAATTCCAGGTACTCATAATGGGAAATTACATGGAAGGAACAAGGGTGTAAAAATAGCAACTTTCAGGAGCTAACCCTTCTTTCTAACCTTGGAGAGTCTGTTACTTTCAATAAGCTTGACTCTACTGATCTCACCCATATCTGTACTTTCCTGTTAGCAAGATGTCGGATTCATCTCTCTACCCACAGTAACTCCCATATTAAAAGCTCTCAGTCAGACCAATGTGGCTCAGTGGTTGAGTGTTGACCTATGTACCGGGAGGTCACAGTTCGATTCTGGTCAGGGCACACGCCTGGGTTGTGGGCTTGATCCGCAGTGTGGGGCGAGCAGGAGGCAGCCGATCAATGATTCTCTCATCATTGACGTTTCTCCCTCCCTTCCTCTCTGAAATCAATAAAATTAAAACAAACAAAAACTCTCAGTGTGGCTGAATGTTGGCAGCTGCTCAGTTTGAGTCTCCTAGCTGAGCAGAAATAGCCTGGCATAGCTCAGGAGGGCCAAAGATTGGGTGGGGCTCCAATGTGGGCTTACCAGCAAGTTGAGGGACCTTAGGCACATTGGTCATTTCTATTTCCACAGCTATACTTGCAGTGGCACTCTCAGGATGATTCTGAGTGATGAATTCATAGGTGAATTCACTGATTACATAGGCAAAAACCTAGTCACACAGTGTTATTCCTAAAATAGGAATTACAATTTCTCAAAAAATTAAAAAGCTATCTTTTTCCACTGTGTGAACCAGTGCCCCTTACCCCTTCTCTCCTTCCTTTGCTGGAGGGTGCCCAAGTTGATAGAGGAGGAAAGCCTTTGGCCCTGGCATTCCTTCCTGTAGACACAGCCCTCTTTGTAGATCATGCTGGATAAACTGTGCAATGTTACAGAGTATCATCACCATTCAATCTTTACTGTCATCTGGATTCTGTTAAAGGTATTCATTTCATAATTGTAAGCTCAATTTTGGTATTAGCAAAAGCAAGGCAGAACACCCCATACACCAGGGATGCAGTTCAGGTGGTGGGCACATTCTGACAGCTGCCATCAGCAACAGCAAGCTTAACTATGGCTGCTGACCACTTCAGAAAGACTAAAAAGTCCAAAACAATCCTCCTATATAGTAAAAGGCTAATATGCAAATTGGCCGGTCACTATGATGTGCACTGACCACCAGGGGGCAGACGCTCAGTGCAGGAGCTGCCCCCTGGTGGTCAGTGTGCTCCCACAGGGGGAGCACAGCTCCGGGCTCACAGTGGGCGAGCGCAAGGTAAGTGCAGCGGCTGCGGTGGCGGCATCGTTAAGGATGTCCGACTAACAGCTTAGGCCCGTTCACCGTGGGGAGCAGGCCCAAGCCATCAGTTGGACATTCCCTGAGGGTCCCAGACTGCAAGAGGGCACAGGCCAGGCTGAGGAACACCACCTCCCCGCCGTCCCCCCTGCCGACTGCACAATTTCATGCACCGGGCCTCTAGTATATTTATAAACATTTGTTAAGTACCAAGAACCACCTCATCAAACACAATGAGATCTCCAACAATACTGGGCACCTAACTGAAAGATACTGAACCAGGCACTTACCCAGTTTTAGACTTACACCCACCCCTAACCCCCACCACCCAAGGCTTAGAAGTTTAGTCATTTGCCCTAACATCAAGAGGAGCCATGATTCGAACTAAGGTCTTTGTACTTCTCACAAATTGTATGCCATCTTCAAAGATCTAGTTGAAAGCACTCTTTTTGTAGGAGAAACAATGAAGGTCCAAAAGGTGCAATGGTTTTTCAAGGTCAGTAAACCCAGGTCTGATTCCCAGTAAGCGCTTTTCCCCGGAATCCAACCTCATTCTTTGAGTGGGGAGAGAGAGGATACCAACTCCAATCAAACCTTGAAAAGCAAAGGAAAATTTAAACTCATTAAATAATTTAAAACTATGTAGCACTGATGTCAGATCTGTAAGTTTATTTGCTCAATGTACGACAGCTACATAATGACTCACATTCATGATATTCCATCACTGAGGAAAACTGCTAAGAATGGTCCGTGTGTGAAATAATTCCTTAGAGAAACACGGAGTTGGAAAAATAATCACTGATTAGACCTTAAAAATAGTTCACTGTATAACATGACCAAAAGCACAAAAGCTCATTCAGAGAACATATTCATTGTTCTCCTACACTGTAATAGTTATAATTTCACCATGACAAACACCAGACATTAAGATTAAGCTAACACTGGTGTTTCTTTTGCCCCGCCCCCCCCAAAAAAACAAAATATATAACTGCATGTCACTATAGCAACATCCAAAACAGATCAATTTGTTACAATCACTATTTGGTAGAGCAAACTTTACCCCCAAAAGGAAAACTTAAATTAAAAAAACTTTAAAAAATTTGAAGACTTAATTTTTTGTCATAGGAATACATAACACCTACAGTATAAGTTAATAAATTTCAAGCTACTTTATAGAAATACAACACTAGCATGCACAATATTGTATCAATAGAGTAATGGAGGAATAATCATTTCACTGGAGAGACAATATCATAGGCAAGTGCATTTCTTTAAAAATAAAGAAAAGAAAAGAAACCATTCAAGCTGCTTAAATATCAAGTCTCCCATTTCCTCTTCATTTTTAGCCCTCAGGTATGATTTTTATCTTGCATTATTCTAAAAAGCAGCCAGAGCCAAAGCTGAAAATTTAAAAAAATATATAGGTTTTGTAATTCCAGTAAATCATTTCCAAATGCTACAAGGACACAACACTGCTCACTGGACATGAAGATAAATTAAGGAAAGCCCCACCTACCCTCCCCCCTCAAATCTTTTTCCCTTCCATGGCATTGACTTTAGAGCCCTGTAAGGGCAAAAGAGCTTTTACAGAGCTTCTGGTAGGATTCAGTTAATTGGGACTTTCACTCTAGCATAGGAAGGGAACCTTCTAAGGAAAGTCATGCTGGATAAACTGTGCAATGTTACAGAGTATCATCACCATTCAATCGTCACTGTCACCTGGATTCTGTTAAAGGTATTCATTTCGTAATTGTAAGCTCAATTTTGGTATTAGCAAAAGCAAGTGTCAGTTTTCCTCAATCATTACTGATACCTCTCCTTGCCTAAATAAAACAAAGAAACAAGTCTGGTGTCATGACCTATCTTGGGAATTCAGTTACTGATTTTATAAAAAAGGCTGAACACACATGCAATAGATCATGTTTTCAGACAGGCTTATCCAAAGTGAGAATGGAGGACCTAAGGCTAAATGAAAACAAATTTGTGAGGATAGCAATGTGGTTTCCCTCAATTCTAAAACATGCACTGATTATACAAGAAATGAATCTGATGTCCATGTTTTTGTTAAAGAGAAAAAATATATAGAGAAAGTTTTGGTCAAATAGGAGTTTAGTATTTATTATCTGATAATGATTTTAGTTTGTTTTCCTGTAACAACTGATTGGGGAAAAAGTGTTTTCAGGGAGGAAAAACTGACACACAAGGCTCCCAGAACCGGATGGAGTGTTTATGAACAGAGCTCTTCCTTTTGGATTTTCCTACCAGTAAGCTTCTAGCACCTGAATTTTCACACACTGCACCACAAACTTTCTCAAAATGGCCACCCAGCTTCTACAACCCACACCTTTTCAACCCAACTGAGTGGCATCAGCATAAGGTACAGTGGGGAAGACTCAAGTGAAGAGCAAAATGGCAGCGTAATCCCTGAGGAAGGAGCTGTGGCAGCTTACAAATCAGGATGTCTCTGAAAATATCAATGCAATAAATGACATACAGACCTGAATTTTCTCTATTTTTTGTGGTGTTTAATGTTTCTATTAAAGTGATTAATAACTTTTGTGGTGGACTTAAGAGGAAAGAAAGATAAAAATCCCACAGCCACCTGCCAAGCACCTATTAACCAATACCTAAAGTAGCTTTGATGCTTCTCAGGCAAGCCTTTGGCCTAGGAGATAACCAACCTGGATATGGCTGAATAAGGATGTAAAGCCAAAATAACTAGCAAAGAAAAATACACAGTCAATGGCTTGATGTTACATATGGCTGTAATGTAGAAATACTGTAAACTGCAATTTAGTGTTAATACTGTCATCTAATCAGAGACTTCAGAAAACTAGCAAGGCCTAAAAACCATAAGGATAAATATACCTTATGTTCCAAGTCTGTCAGTTTGGGATTTAAACTATTCCATGTCTGGTAGAGTACACCCTGAAAAAAAATGCACAGCTAATACAGATGAGATAGAAAGTACCCAAAACTTAAGACAAGAGCATATGTACATAAAAATCCTTACTGGAACCACAGAACTTACTGAATGAGGGCCATTCCACTGAAGTTTTCTTTTCACTTTAAAATCCTATTATCTAGCAATAAGTTAAATTAAAGATAGACAGCTCCACTTGCATTAATCTACAGAACAGTCCATATGCCGGTGTGAGGCTGCTATTCCAATACCAGCACAGCTAGCCTGACTTTCCACTAGTGGTATTTTGGCAAAAATGTCAAAGAGGCGATCAAAGACAGGACAGGTCGTGGGTTTCTCCCTAGGAAGGTCATCCCTCCCTTTCCCTCCCCCACCCGACCCCCAAACTCATGGGAAAAAAATAAAGACTGCAGTAGTAGCATCAGCGTGCGCTGCCAGTCCACCTGAGGGGCCTTAATTGTTGCCTTCTCCACCATCGTCGTCTTGCTGATCGCTTGTCCAGAGCGTTAGGTTGTCACGAAGGAGCTGCATGATGAGAGTGGAGTCCTTGTAGGAGTCCTCATTGAGAGTGTCGAGCTCAGCAATGGCATCGTCGAAGGCGGTCTTGGCCAAGTGGCATGCTTGCTCTGGGGCATTCTGGATCTCATAGTAGAAAACGGAGTAGTTAAGAGCCAGGCCTAATCTAATGGGGTGAGTAGGCTGCATGTGCTCCTTGCTGATCTCATGGGCTTCGCTATAGGCCTTCTCAGATGATTCCACAACAGTCGCCCTTTTCTCTCCAGTGGCTACTTCAGCCAAGTAACGGTAATAGTCCCCTTTCATCTTCAGGTAAAACACTTTGCTCTCATATTGGGTCTCACTGCAATTCTTGATCAGGTAGTTATCTAGCAGGCTCAGCACATCCTGACATACTGCTTCCAACTCCTTCTCTATTTTTTCACGATAAGCACGGACCATCTCTATCTTCTTCTCATTACCATCTGCAGAAGTCTTCTGCTCAATGCTACTAATGACCCTCCAGGAAGAACGGCGTGCCCCAACTACATTCTTGTAGGCCACAGAAAGAAGATTTCTTTCTTCATTGGATAGTGGCTCATTCAGCTCTGTCACCTATTAAGAGGAAAAGAATAAAGAGTTGTTATGGTACAGATGTCAGTTGGGTTAATCATAACCATATACAGCTAAAACATAAACATCCATTAGATGATTAAAATGATTAATAGAGAAGTTATCAGGCTGTATGAGTATATGGAAGGGAGATGGAGGTGGAAAGAGCAATAGTAAAAAAAAAAAAATTGCAACTGGGTCAATGGTGCCTGAATCTCTGCTTCACACCTATAAAAGGACACATACTTATCACATAGCTGTTCCATGAAGAACTGTCAAGTCTAGCTATTAGATGACAAATCAAATTTTTATCTAAATTGCAAAAGGTCAACAGTTCTTTCATGTAACATTACATACACAGCAATCATAAGGGAATTCTAGTATTGGTGGCTTATATACCACTAGTGGCCTGGTGCATGTAATTCGTGCACGGCGGGGGGGAGGGGGGTTCCCCTCAGCCCAGCCTGCACCCTCTCCAATCGGGGACCCCTTGGGGGATGTCTGACCACCTGCGGTCGGACAGCCCTCTTGCAATCTGGGACCACTGGCTCCTAACCGCTCACCTGCCGGCCTAATCTCGCCCCCAACTGCCTCTGCCTGCCTGATCACCCCTAACTGACCTCCCCTGCGGCCTGATCTTGCCCCCAACTGCCCTCCCCTGCCTGCCTGATCGCCCCTACCTGCCCTCCCCTGCCGGCCTGTCTTGCTTCCAACTGCCCTCCCCTGCCGGCCTGTCTTGCTTCCAACTGCCCTCCCCTGCCGGCCTGATCTCGCCCCCAACTGCCCTCCCCTAACGGCCTCTGCCTTGGACCCACCACCATGGCTTTGTCCGGAAGATGGCTGGTCGACCTGGTCTAATTAGCATATTACCCTTTTAGTACAGATTATATAGGATAGGACTGCTTAAATGGGGGGGGGGGCTTTTTCGTCAGGAGGAGATGCTCTTGGCAGACAAAAATACATAATCCCTATATCTGGACTGATAGCCAGCTATATGCACTATACTGCCAAACTGGTCATTAAAAAATTGAACCGCTTTCTTACACTTTACACCAAACAGCTGTTGCCCTTAAAACCCCTCCTCAGCCCCCCCCTTAGGTTCTGCCTTCGCAGTTCACCCAGATTAGGTTCTGATTGGTCAGTTTCTGTGCCAGTCAGTGTCAAAAGCTCTGCCTCCTATGCAGCTATTGGCTCCTCACCCTTCACTCAGATTTGGTTCTGATTGGTCGGTTTCTATGCCAGTCAGCATCTCCGGCCTATCAACGGGCCTGATCAGAGAGGCGGGGCTGATCAGCAGCCCCAGCGGAGACCCAAGAGAAAGAGAGGTGCGGCTGCTAGCCAGGCCCTGAGTGAAAGAGGAGAGGCAAGTACTAATCTACAGCTGCCAGGGAGACTACGGATCAGACCCTGCTTTTCTCTCCAGGCCTCTCTTCGGGCCTGATCCGCAGCCCCCTCGGCAGTCAGTGCTTGGTCAGGGCGCCTGCAGTAACTTCCAGTCGGTCGAGCCTTTGGTGATTCTGGATGTTATGGACCCTGGGTTTTTATAAAGTAGGATTCTGTTCTCTTAAGAACAGAATAACAGCTTCTTTCTAATATTGCCCTGTCTGCTAAACTTCTGGGTGGGAATATTTTGAGTATTGGTTGAGAATATAGAGCCAACTTCAAGCAGACTTTTGAGAAAGAAGGAGGCTTTTCTGCTCTTGTGTTAAGCTCATGAATTATAAACCTCAGAAAGTTAGTCAAAATTGGGGACATGGGACTGAGATTTTAGAAACTTGGGGAACACATATTTGTTATAGTGTTTGACTGAATACAATTAGCAATACAAAAGAGTGGAGAGGTGAACAAAGTACTTTTGAACTGAGGTGGCCAATAGGAATTAATGCTTCTTTCAATTTGTGCTTTTCTAAAAGGTCTTCACCATCCCAAAGACTAATTGCCTTGAGAAAACTAAAGCAATAGCATGCTGAGAACTCTGGTCAGGATGGCAGAGTAAATGAATGCGGTGCTCACCTCCTCCCATGACCACATCAAAATTACAACCTATATTGTGGCAAAATTACAACCTATATTAAGAATCCAGAGGGAGCCCTAGCCAGTTAGGCTCAGTGCATAGAGAGTCGGCCCATGGACTAAATGATCCTGGGTTTAATTCTGGTCAAAGGCACATACTTCGGTTGCAGGCTCAATCTCTTCAGGGCACACGCGGGAGGCAACCAATAGATGTGTCTCTCTCACATCGATGTTTCTCTATCTGTTCTTCCACTCTCTCTCTAAAAATATATATAAATAAGTAAATAAAATTAAAAAAAATAATCCAGAGGGATAGCTTTTTAAAAAATATATATTTTATTGATTTTTTACAGAGAGGAAGGGAGAGGGATAGAGAGTTAGAAACATTGATGAGAGAGAAACATCAATCAGCTGCCTCCTGCACACCACCTACTGGGGATGTGCCTGCAACCAAGGTACATGCCCTTGACCAGAATCGAACCTGGGACCCTTCAGTCCACAGGCTGACGCTCTATCCACTGAGTCAAACCATTTAGGGCCAGAGGGATATCTTGACTGCAGAGGTCTCCCTGAAAAGCAAGGGGTCCCAGCCCCATAATCTATGGCTGTAAAAATCAGTGGGGATTTAGTTGAGGTGAGATGAAGGGCTACTGGAGTCCCAGATGTTCCTCTTAAAAGGTCTGGCATGGACTTACTCGCTAACACACTCTCTTGCTCTGAGCTCCAGTACTGGGGCAGCAGCTCAAAAGCGCCAGGACATATGGAAAACAACTGAATTGTCTGGGATGGAGGAGCAGCTCTGGCCTGGACAAAATGCTGGCAGGTGCCACTGTTCTTTTGCTGAGCCCTCCCAGGTGGGCACCTAATCTGTCTCCATCCAACTAGCTAATATCACTTGCTGGCCTCACCCTGATGATTATTTGAGACCTCATACACTAGCCTGAGCCTCTTTCACAGACTGTTCCTACTGGACCTGGCTCAAGCTTTGGACTGTCCTAAAATCCCTCAAAGGTCACCCAGTTGGAGTGGCTCAGTTGGTTGAACATCATTCTGTGCACCAAACCATGCCAGTTCGATGCCCAGTCAGGGCACATGCCTGGGTTGCAGGTTCAATCCCTGGTTGGGACACGTGCGGAAGGCAACCAATCAATGTTTCTCACATCGATGTTTCTCTCTCTCTTTTTCTCTCCCCCCCCCCCCCCCTTTCTCTGTCCTTGGGTGAGGATTTAAAAAAACACATCTCTCAAAGGTCTATAAACCTCAAACAAGCAGTAGTTGGCCTCAGCATGCCCTGTATCTCCTGCTGAGTGGCACTTGGCTCTAGTGGCAGCTGGCCTTGGTTCATAGCATAGCCTCTCTTCCAGGTACCTCCAAGCTACCAACCACAGATTATTCTGTAGCGCCTACCAGGTGGCTCTAGGCCAGGCATAGGCAGTAGCTGAATTTGGCCTATACCAGAGCCACTCCCAGAACCAACATGCCTGGCTGGCTTCAGACCATACCAGAGAACCACCCAATTAGCTCCATAAATGACACACCCGAAGGGTGAACTTAGCAGGCACCAGAGCCCTGCCAAGGTGAAATCCACTCTGTAGGGTCAGTTTTTATAAAACAGCTTGTTTGCTGTAGTCATGGCCAGTCCTCACAGCCAGTTAGCCTGAGGGTCAATCCCACCAACCTGCCAATTGCAATCAAGGCTCAACTACAATAGGAGGATACACACAACCTACATAAGGGACACCCCTGGAGCACCCAGCTCAGGTTAACAGGGAGATTGGGTCTCACAGAGGACACTTACTACATAAGGCCACCCCACCAAGACTAGGAGATGTAGCAGATCTACCTAATACTTTGAAAGAACAAAACAAAACACCAGAAAAATAACTAAACGAAATGGAGGCAAGCAATCTACCAGATAGAGTTCAAAACATTGGTTATAAGGATGCTCGAGGAACTTAGGAGAATAGATAAACTCCATGAAAACTTACACAAGAGATAGAAACCATTTTTAAAAACCAGTCAGAAATTAAAAAAAAAAAAATGAGGCTAGTTTAAGGGGCCTATGGAACAATATCAAGAGTAACAAAATCTTCCCTAGCTGATTTGGCTCAGTGGATAGAGTATCAGCCTGTGAACTGAGGGGTCCTGGGCTCGATTCCAGTCAACGGCACATACCCAGGTTGTGGGCTCAATCCCCAGTGCGGGGAATGCAGGAGGCAGCCGGTCAATGATTCTCTCTCATCACTGATGTTTCTATCTCTCTCTCCTTCCCCTTCCTCTCTGAAATCAATAAAAATATATTAAAAGAAAAAGTAACAAAATCCACATTAATCAGGTACCAGAAGGAGAAGAGAAAGCAAGGGATTATAAACCTATTTGCAGAAATAATGACAGAAATAATAATAAATCTTCCCTAACCTGGTAAAGGAAATAGACAAATAAGACCAGAAAGTACAGAGAGTCCTAAACAAAATGAACCCAAAGAAGCCCACACCAAGACACATCATAATTAAAATACCAAAGGTCAAAGACAACAAGAAAGTCTTACAAGTACCAGAAGAAAAGCAGATAGTTATGTGCAAAGGAGCTCCCATAAGATTGTCAGCTGATTTCTCAACAGAAACTTTGTAGACCAGACAGGATTGGCCAGAAATATTCAAAGTAATGGCGACCAACGACCTACAACCAAGATTACTCTACCGAGCAAGGCTATCATTTAGAATCAAAGGAGAGATAAAGAGCTTCTCAGACAAGAAAAAGCTGAAGGAGTGCATCACCACCAAAACAATCTTAACAAGAAATGTTTAAGACTTAAGAAAAAGAGAACAAAATTATAAATAATAAAGTGGAAATAACTACAGTACATAGTTGTCAGATGGAAGGGGGATTAAAGGGCTGGCTGAAAAAGATGATGGGATTAAGATGCACCAATTGGCAGTTACAATAATATTATAATAACTATGTATGGTGTCAGGTGGGTACTAGATTTA